AAAAAAAAAGTAAATAGATGTTGTTTTAAATACCTTTTTCACAAAATATAGGATAAAAATAAGAAAAGTAAGTCTTAAATTAATCTTAGGATGATGCCACTAAATATCCTTCAATATATGCTTACAGTACAAAAGTTTAAATCAGAAATATTTAAATAAAAACTGCATCTTTATTTATACTTAAAAAACATAAATCAATAGAATTCCATTTAAAAAACGTTGAGGAAACATGAACAAATTCAAAAATCTATTCACAATTTTAAAGAAAAATAATTAAAAATTGCAGAATATATTTAGAAAAAAGGTAAAATAACTAATCAATAATTTGCGAATAAATTATAAAAGCTAAATCTATTTGAAGAAGCTTTGAAATACTTCAATTTGGCAATAAAGAAAAATCCAGAAAATAATGATTTATATTTCGAAAAAGGTGATAATAACTATGAATATTAGGATGTTTATTAATTATTTTTAATAAACTTGAGGAAGCCATACAGTAATTTGATTATGCCATCTAATAAAATCCAAGTGACTATAGAGCTTTTTCAAGTAAAGGTGTATAACTTTTTGTTAAAATTTTAGCAAGTGTATTAATAAGATTAAATCGATTTGAAGAGGCTTTATAATATTACGATTAAAGCATTCGTATTAATCCTGAAATGGTGCATTTGAAAATTAATAAAGGTATATAAAAAATTCTATAATAAGCTATTACTCTAAAGAAATTAAATCGATTAGAAGATGCTTTATAATATTATGATTAAGCGATCACAAAATAACCTAATAATGCTGATTTATTAAATGATAAAGCCTAAACATTAGAAAGCTTAAATCGATCTTAAGAAGCTTTATTATATTACGATCGTGCAATTGCGATTAACCCTGTAAATTACAAATAATATTTTAACAAAGGTATAAAATGATGGATATAAATAGCAAATGCATTAATGAAATTAAATAGATTTGAAGAAGCTATATAACATTATGACAAGGCAATTTATTTAAATCCAAACGATGCTGAATCCTATAATAATAAAGG